GATAAGCCTTACCATAAGGTTGAGATTGTTGAAGTTATTGGTGAAGGCATGGTTGTCGTAGGCATCACTTTCGAAAACGGTAATGTGGAACAACGTATAGTTCAATTAGCTGACATAATTGGGTATGCTGACAAACAAGTAAAAAAAAAAGTAAAGGTAATATTATGTATATATTTTTTCTTGGGAAATTCTATTTTCATCTGAGTTAAAGTCACCCGATAAATTATAATGTCATTTACGTAACTAAATTATTAGTATTAGTAATATTCGGGTGACTTTAACCCAGGTGAAAATAGAATCTCACTTCTTTTTTGGTTCCGATAAATAAGCAAATTATGTCTTTATAGTTGTCTAAAGATTCTCATGGAAACGATATTGTTTATACAATGCCATATAGAGGAAAGAAAGGCAAATTACACTTAACTTCTACATGTCCAATAGATACAAGTCTCACACTTATTCAAAGCATTTTTACTCAGCAAAATATCTATAGTCAAGCAGCAGCTTTTGCCATCGCTGACCCCATTTCATGCACACATCTTCTTATTAAAGTTTTTGACCGAATGAAGCAGAAGCAATAGGTAGAGGCCAAGTTTCTTTGTGTTGAAAGCTTACTATCATATAATAAGTTAAAAACAGGATGTATAAGCTTATTTGGAAGTCTTTCAGAGCTATTTTTTGAACAATTTTTTCACAATTCCTTGAACTGGAATCTTCTCGTTATCAAAAACACTGTAACAACTATGTGTGATTCAGATTATTGCTCTAAAAAAATTTTGCCGCCAGAAAACTTTTATGACATTGTGCTTATGTAAGTAAGTAATATTTTTTTTATATTAATAAATATAAATTTTTTTTTTTTTTTTTTTTTTTAGAAAACCGCAACTACCAGTGTTACCAGGGGGTAATTACTTTGAAACATGTTTAAAACATTGGCAAGAGCCTTGTATTGTCTCCTGTGGATCAGAGTTTGTAACTATAAATAGGAAAAAACCAAAAAATGTTCCTGTGAATGCCTTTAAGATCGACAAATATACATCAGTAGAAAGCGGAAAAATCAAGTAATTTATTTACCCCTATTTAATTTTTAATATATACTGCATATACTGTACTTAAATAAGTATATATATGTATATATATATATGTATATATATTTTTAGGCATTTGTATCTATGTGTGGGTAAAGCTACTTTGACAAGACAAATTGATCAATGACTACCTTTGATTCTTGTGGTAAATGTTGCAGGAATTAATATTACTAACGAGGGATTTTATCTTGAAAGTAAAGACCTTCCGGAAGAAATTAGTTTTCCTTCGGAAAACGCATATATAAAACAAAGGTAAATCTTAATTCCGATTCTGCTTACTAATTTATGATATGGACTTTACATTTTTTTTTTTTTTTTTTTTTTTTTTTTAATAGATATCATCTTATAGGAGCTTCTTTTTATAATGGTAATCATCATGTTGCTGATGTTCAATTTGAAAATGTCAAAAATGCGGGCTGGTATCAGTATGATGGTTTAGGAAAAACCTATCGTGCAAGAGCAATGCACATGGGAAGTTCGCGCCCACCTCACAAAACTGGCTATGCTATGGATTTTGCAATTTATGTAAAAATTTGATCAAATTTTATTAGTTTAATTTTTTTACA